TTTTTTTTTTTTTTTTTTTGAGAGTGGAAGGGAAGGAGAGAGTGACATCAGTGTGAGAGATGCATCAATTGGTTGCCTCCTGCACAAGCCCTGACCAAGGCAGGGGATGGAACCTTCAACCCTGGTACGTGCCCTTGACCAGGAATCAAACCCATGACCCTTCGGTGCACCGACCGGCACTCTAACCATTGAACCACACCAGCCAGGGCGTGTGTGCTTTTCTTAAAAATTGTTCCTTGTAAACCTTTTAATGTATGTTTTTTCTCTTCCATTATGTTTTTTTTTAAAAAATATATCTTTATTGATTTCAGAGAGAGGAAAGGAGAGGGAGAGAGAGAGATAGAAACATCAATGATGAGAGAGTCATTGATGGCTGCAGCCCGCAACCCGGGCGTGTGCCCTGACCTGGAATCGAACCCCGATCGCCTGGATCCTAGGTCAACGCTCAACCGCTGAGCCACGCCCGGCCGGGCTCTTCCATTACATTTTAATTGCCTGTGGGTAAGGAGCTGGCCTTCTGTTGGTTTCAGTCTGTACAGTTTTATTCACTTATGTATTGATTCCAGTTTGTTCACTCATTCATTCATTCATTTATTCATTTATTCCAGACACTGTATTAATTGGGAGGGTAATGAATAAGACATAGCTCCTGCCTGCAAGGAGCTTACTATCTAGTTAGAGAAGAAAAGACACAGATAAGTGTAGCAGAAGCAATAATAAAACCATTCACAGAAAATGGTGGGAACATGGAAGAGACACATTTACTTAGGATTGTGTGGAGTGGGCAGCAGGGAGAGGTAATTCAAGGAGGACTTTTGGAGCAGTTGACTTTCGGGCTGAATCTTAACGCGTAGTGGTCAGTAGGTAAAGAGGAAGAAGTCCTGGCATAGAGACATGACAGTGGAGACCATTTGCAAGAAGAGGTGAGGCGCTTGGTGCTGTGGCACGAAGGGAAAGGCAGAGAGTGGTGGGAGATGGCCGGGGAGGAGGCAGAGACCCCTGCTGGGACCCGCATGCCATGACTAGAAGTGTATACTACACTGGTGTCGAAGGACAGGGACACCCTGCGGGTGCGTCTGTGATCAGTCTCAGTGGCAGTTGGGAGGATGAATCTCGGGGGATGAGGCAGGTGAGTGGCTCGTCCAGGTGGGAGACACTGGGGACCTGCTCCAGGGCAGGGCTGTGGGAATGGAGAGGAGGGGGCAGAACTGAGAATGACTGTGATACGAAGTTAGCAGAGCCCGTCACAACCACAGATGAGGGAGGAGAAGGGCCTAGGGCGATCCTTGCAGAGCTAACTTAACGGCGGCGACTGACTGCACAGTCTTCCTAGAGAGTAGGAGGAGCCGGAGTATAGATGACCGTACAGGCTCGTTATTTTCAGCCGCTGGGAGTTTTAATGCGCCTGTGATCTAGTTCAGGTTAAATCTAGTTGATGCTTAGCAGGGATGTCTAGATGCCCGGAAATACCTCATTGCCGGTACTCAGCTTAACTCCATCTCCTCTTGGAAGCAGGAGTATTTCTCCTTTTCCTACAACATGCTGTGCACACATCCGTCATAACCCTTTGTGTCGTGGTCCTTTATTTTCTTTTCTATTTATCTCCGTAGTCACAGTCCAGTGTTTGGTACATAACCTCGCCTTAAATGTGAGTGAGTGAGCGAGTGAATAGGTTGTTTTTGGAAGTACTATTATTATTTATTAGAGAAAGTTTATTTTTGGCTTACTCTCATTCTGATTTTTCTTTGTTTTAACTCCTAGCACCTGCCACTGGAAGAATCTCAAATAGTGCCACTTCCTCAGGAGCAGCGGCCCCAGCCAACTCAGCTGCGGGGCAGCCCCAGCCGAGCGACCAGGACACGTTAGTGCAAAGGGCTGAGCACATCCCAGCAGGGAAACGGACTCCCATGTGCGCCCACTGCAACCAGGTTATCAGGTTGGTTGTTTTTGAAGTTTCTTGGGAATACTTAATAACAATGTTGATTTTTATGTTTTAGTATCCTGAAAGATTCACAGTTTTATTAGGGAAAATATTCTTGCCATATTTCTACGTAAATGTTATTATTGAAGTAGATAAATATGAATGTATTTGTTAGAATCTGTTTTAATGGAAAGTAATTCTGGGCCCTTGAGATTAAAACTAAAAATACCATTTTCTAAGTTATTAATTCCTAAGGAAAAATAATGATTAATTTGGCCTTTCAGAGAATAATAAAATTTTAAGACTCTAAGGGACCTTGAAGATCGTTTATCTGAATTTCATTATTTTGCAAATTATAAAAGTGAGGACTTTCATTTAGATGAAAAATAGCTAGTAACATAAAATAAAGAACTTAGAGTCCTATAGGAAAGAAGATTGGATTTTTGAAGCCCTAAGCACAGAAAGATATAATTACCTCCAGATCCATACATAAATGCTTTAAATTTAGGTTACATCATAACTTGCTTCCTTATAATATTTTAAATCCAAATCTTACTTTATTGTCTTTTAAATTCCAAGTAGGGAAAAAGGCCCAGAGATCTTAAGTGAGTGTACTGTACTGGCACTTATTAAATCTCTGAGCATTTCTTAATAACTGGCTTTTAAAATGTTATGAGGTTTAGGTGTGAATGTTGACTGCAGGGATCCCACCAGCAGGACCCGTTGCCTCTGTGAGTTGCCTTGTTGGCAGTAGCAGATGATCAGTTGGAGTGACGGCTCACACTCTCGCCTTGTTTTTAATTTATCCTGTTTTGAAATAGTTGAAACAGTGGTTTCTCTAAAGTTGAATAAGGTTAAGACTTGTATTTTCCCTCCTCTATTACATAATTATTGCTTAGGATAATGTGTCTAGTTAATACTTAAAATGGAGCCCAAGAAGCCTCCATACTTTATTTATGAACCAAATATACTCTTCTCCTGAACCCACTATTAAATAATAAATGTGCATTTATTATTTAATAGTGGCTGGTGTTGCTCAGTGGTTGAGCATCAACCCATGAACCCAGAAGTCACAGTTCGATTCCCACTCAGGGCACATGCCCGGGTTGTGGGCTTGACCCCCAGTAGGGGATGTGTGGGAGGCAGCTGATCAATGACTTTCTCTCATCATTGATATTTCTATCTCCCTCTCCATTCCTCTCTCTGAAATGTATAAAAACATATTAAAAAAAGCAGTATTTGTTAAAAATGACAACACAGCACACAGTACATGATTAAAAATAAAATAGCTTTTATATTTTAAAAGCTAGTCCATGTTGATTGTGACATTTTAAAACTATAGAAAAACTGAAAACAAAAATAAAAATTCATCCATAATTCTACTTCCTAAGATAGTCACTGTTGGTATTTTAATTTACACTTTTAAAACAGACACACCTCAGGACAGATGTTGTCTACAGAAGTGGAATCATAATACAGTATTTTCATTTTTCACTTAAGTTGTATTTTCCATAGTGAGCAGTGCCTGCTTAGACTAAGAATGAGCCAGGAGCAGCGGTAGCAGTAACAGTGGTTATGGGGACAGGAGAAAATCAGCAGAGGTTTCATAGTCCAGCGCAGTCTCCACACGGAGGCACTCAGTGATTGTTTGACCTGAACTGGTTACGCGGGACTCTAGACCCACTCATCGTTCAAGCCACAGTATTAGTTCGGTTAGAGTCCTTTTTCTAACAGCACTACCCTAGGGGTACTGCCTTGCAGAAATATTTAAACTATTGCCACATCTAGACTGATACTGCTTTACTCCAGTAAACGAAACACTGTTTTTAGTTACTAACTATGTTTAGTTGTTGTATTTTTAGGTTTAATATTAATGAAATAAAAAATTCTGATTCGTCACATTGCTTCTTTAAGTTGTGGCACCTTGCTTGTGTAGACTGGTACTTAGGGATACTACATGGTGGGGGGAAAACACTCTTCATGGAGACAGGAGTCACTGCTATCAGTGTGCTGTTGTAAGCATGTAATCGGATGGGCCAACAAAATGTCAAACCATATCAGTTGCTGGTTCCTGTTGTCTGATTATCAAATTCTGTGACAGCCTGTAATCATCACTATCAGCACATCTGAAAAACTTAGTATGGATGGAAAATTACATTCCCCACCCCTCCCTACTTTGGTTTCAGTTTTAATGCTGGACCAGGATGTAATTTTAATGCACAATCTTCTTGTCATGTGAAATAAATATATATATTATGTTAATAACACGAATGGCCATCGCTTATTGCTCCCTCGTCTGTTAAATTTTATATTGCTCTGGATTATCCCAGCACTTGCTATCGGTTAAACTTTAAAGCTTCATTTATAGGGAAGTTAATAGGAACAGGGATTAGTTCATGTCAAGATCTTCTAACAGTAATTAGCATAGCACATTTGCTTGGTGCTCAAATGCTGGAGCAGCTTGAACAGATTGTGGTCAGTTCAGAGACCTCGTCAAAGCATAATTCTAGTTCTTGGCCTCAATGCCAGTATCACTTACCAAAGCAAGGGGGCGTTAGTTAGATCAAGTGACATTCTCTTGGACACCTGTTTTAAAAACAAGCTGCAGTTACAGGCTTGATACTTTCAATGTAGAATATTGCAGCCTGGCAAACTCTAAGAAGTTTAAGATTTCAGGACTTATTGTTTGGTTTCCACAGTGTAATTTACAGTGTTTGTTTATAATTTATATTGTTTTTTAAATGATATTTAAAACTTTTTTTAATATTTAAAATTTTCAAAAGCATTTTTAAAATAAAGTCAGATTGAGGCAAATTTTGTGTTTTGTTTTATTTTTAGCACAGTTAATTGTTTTTGGAAAACCTCAGAAACCTGAATCACTGAATGTTAGTACTGAGCTCGTTATCTCTTATACTCCATATTTAGCTTAACACTCTATAAATCATTTTATTTGGACCTAATAATTATAATTTTGGTTTACTTGAAAAGATTATAGATATTTTGCCTAAATTGTATTATTTCAGCATTACTTTGATTAGTTAGTTGCTTTTTACAGATGGATAGGGTGTTACATTTTAGGAAATTCTAGTGAAGCTTTGATTGAGTTTGCTATGGAACATTTCCGATCCATTTGTGGTAGGAGTGTCATTTCTTCCACTCTTCTACTCATGAATAGATTGACTGTTGGAGTGCTGGTATAATAGGAAAACAGAAAATCAGACTAATGTAGCCAAAATCACATTTTAGTTTCCCTGGTAGAAGAGGCTCATGAAAACTCTAGCTTATTTCTTGACTGTTACATCTAGTGACATTAAAATCTATTGACCACTTGCATTACATGGAGCTAAATGGTCCGTTCATATTTAGCTTCCTAGCATCTTTGTGAAAGAAGTAAGGAATTTATGGTGCTTGAATTTCTTCTTAGATATGGAATGCTTTTTTTAATACTATTGTTCTGTGCTTGCCTGCAGTACAGCACCAGAACAGTCACATTCTGTCAGCCCATTGTCGATTCAGTGAGAAGGAATTTTCACATTACTGAATTGTTTCTTGCTCAGTGATTTTCATATTTTTCTCATAAGGAGAGCCATCTCAGTTACCACAAGGAGAGCACAGCATTCATCCCTTCTCACCATCCATTCCAATCTCTGAGCACACCTTTCTTAACAGATTTTGTTTATTTTCCCTCCTGGTTAAGATTTTATTTGAAAATTCAAGGTTTCTCAGCTTATTGTGTTAGTCCCTGAATTTAAGGAAACTAAAGACACAGACCAAGATTTCAGGTTTACTGTAGTGATATTTGTATAACTCACCTTCCTCTCCTTCAGGTCTTCACTCAATTATTAGGGTATTCCTGGCCACTCCCATCCACACACACACATTGTCTCCCTATTTCCCCTCTGCTTTATATTTATCCTCACATTTAAAAATCTAACATACCGTATGTTTTATCTTTTTTGTTGTCTCTCTCCCTCGTGTTAGAATGTAAGTTCCATGCAAGCAGGGCTTTTTCTGACTTTGTTTCTTGCTATAGTCTCTGCTCCCAGAACAGTCCCTGGCGTATATCACTGCATTTAGTAAATATTTGTTCAGTTGATGAATGAACTTTTAAAAAATATTCAGAGGAATACATGATATTAGTGTTGCCAACTTGAAATTACATTCCACTTGTCTCATTATATGGACTCACATTTCTCCTGCTTTTCTGATTTTATAATAACCTCAATATAAAGAATTGACTATAATTGCCTCCGATAAATTTGTTTTTAAAGATGATCAGTACTACCCTTTTTTAAGAACTCGTTTTTCTTATTCACCTTTATGTTTGGGCTCATTTCACTTATACAGTTATTCTTAAAGAGCATGCCTTTCATGTTTTTCAAATAAAAAGCTATTACAATGTTTTAAATGTAGTATTTTAAAGGGCTGTGAGTTAAAGATGGTACTGGATAAAAGAACTATATATTTTTTGATGTTCCAAATTGGAAAGTATGGGCGTAATCCACTGGAAATGAAGATTTTCACATTACCGAATTGTTTCTTGCTCGGTGATTTCCATACTTTTCTCATAAGGAGAGCCATCTCGGTGTCAAAAGTACGGTGTTTCTACATTTTTGGAAGGATTATTAGTATTTCTGATTTCGAGTACTGTAAATCTTGTAAGATAGTTGCTGTGTTTCATTTTCTTCCTGCATTTGTGTTGTATGTCTTTGTGACTGTGTGTGTGCTGTGCATTTCCTCCCAGTAATCTTTTCTATTTCATTTTGTTTTTCTAGCTGTGTTGTTCCTCCGTTTGCTCATGCTAGGCCCTTCCTAAAAGTTGAGCATAATATAAACTGGCTTATACATTTTTATTATTTATTATATCTAGTTAAGTAGAATATTAGATTCCATAATAGTTTTGAGCATGTGAGTTGCTTTTTATGTGACTTTGTTTTTAACTTTCGTTGATTAACTTCTCTTGATTTTTTAAACTTCTTTTGTTTTTAACATCTATTGATGCAGTAAGTTTGGGT